GTCGTCCGAGCCGAGTCGTTAAATGAAGTTAAAGTGGATACACACATGCAAAGGCTTGTTAACTGTAAACGTACTTTTATCAATAAAAAGATCTGTAAAAGTTGCTCATAGCTACTTAAAAAGGCTTAAAAATCACTTTGAGAGCTATTTTTTTCTACATATGAGAGTTCAGAATATGAACTACAAGAAAGTCACATACATGATTTGCATCTCCAATATATATTTTTTAAAATTGCAAATAATAATTTGTCAGAATTGCAAAAAAATGATTTGTTGCGGTAACTGTTTGATTTGTTCCTCGTACAATTATCAACAAACAGCAAGCGTTCGTTTATTGCGACAACTGCAGAAGTCTTTTTCTCAGTGCGCGGATACAATCGTCCAGTGTGCCAAACAATCGCCCGAGAGCGGATTTCGCGGAAGAGCAAGTCTGTCTTTCAGGCGCGAGTCTCGAAGAATCGAAACTTTCTCAATGAAAGCTGTCAAACGGCCCGAGAACTGCAAGTTCCGCGGAGGATCTTGACAGCTGAATTCCATCCGCGCGGGCGCGGAGATGAGATCGCCCGGCCTTCTGTCTCATTCGTGACGAAAGAAAAGTTTGGAGTAAGTTTGGAGTAAGAACGACGCCGTATGCTGACTGATTCGCGCTTAACGTAGCGAAAGAACTCGGCGAAAATAAATCTCCCCGTGCTTCGCGCTGGCCCGCCGTTCTCCATTGCGATCGCGTGCGCGGCCGCGTGATGTGCGCGAAATTGTTGATACACGATCGAGATTCGACGAGAAATCTCGAGTAACGTCGCGTGCGATACCGCCTAGACGATGTACATCAAACCGTACACGTGTTCCGGGCGTGTACGTGTGCAGCAGATAAGAGTGACATTAGCATATACGCGATTAGCGTACATGCCGTAAATCATCCGGCGCTTAAGTTATTTTATCCTCTTTATTGCGGAAACGATTTAGATGAAAAATCGCCGCGAGCGCGCCGGCGCGGCGAGGCCGGGAATCAAGCGTGTGCGTAAAATTATATTTTATCGCGAAACTTTCTTCTCCTCGATAACGAGGAAACCCGGACAAGCACGTGCGCAGGCAAGATCGAGGAGAAGAGTATCAAAGCTCCATGTCTTCGGCATGCGCGCGGAACCGCGGTCGCGATGTACCTTCTGCTCAAAAAGTGCCCGGAATCGGGCGATGAAACACAAAATATTCAGTTATTCAGGTAAATTTATTTTGTCGCCTTCAAAATAGTTCCCAGTCTGCAACACGCATACGCCAAAGCTTAATCCAATCTTCGAAACACTTTTCATAAGCCGATTTTGGTATGGCCTTGAGTCCCTTCGGCGAATTCTCTTTTACTGCCTTAATCGTCTCAAGACGCTTATCATGGAGCGGCATTTTGAGTTTTGGGAAGAGAAAAAAGTACAGGGTGCCATATCTGGCTAGTACGGTGCGTGCAAAATGATATTAGTCAAGCGTTTGGCCAAACAGTCATGTACAAGAAGCGATAGCGCATTATTGTAATGTGAAAATCCGTGAGTTGTCTTCGGTCAAAATGACATGGACACGCTTAAAAGATATTCTATTCGTAAAGTGACTTTTCCCATAGTTTCACGTTCTAAGCGAAGCCCTGTCAGGAAAAGAATTTCTCTTTCGACAAAGCGTTTAAAGTGAACCATTCATCGAAAATTTTTTGGGTCTATGCATAACTCCGTAGTGAAATTCCGACGAGATGTCGTTCGCAGTTGTTTTTCCGCTCGCACATGTGTCAAACATATGAAGTGTCGTGCATTAAGTGAAAGCTGATATTTGTGCTGACATTTTAAGAAAGTATTTATTCATCGAGATCCGTGACATATACGAAGTTTAATTATATTTTGAACAAGGAAAAAAAAAACGTGTATTTTCGGTGCATTTCGCTTTTTTATTTCCGAAAAGGCAAAATCGCGTGGCAAATTCACAAAAAGATATGCGCCGTGTACGGAGAGAATGCCGTAAGCGAAAGTGTGTGTCGGAAGTGGTTTGCGAAATTTCGTTGCGGAGATTTTGATCTCCAAGGTGCTCCTCGCTCTGATCGGCCAGTCACTGCTAATGTCGATCAAATCAAGGCTTTAATCGACTCCGACCGGCATTTGACGACTACAGAGATCGGACATAACCTCAACATTGATGAATCAACTGTTTCGAGACATTTACGGAAGCTTAGGATGGTAAATAAGCTAGATGTTTGAGTGCCGCACGAACTGAGCGAAAAAAATTTAATGGACCGAATTTCAGCTTGCGATTTGCTGTTCAAACGCCACCAAAACGAACTATTTTTAAAGCGGATGATCACTGGCGATGAAAAGTGGATTGTCTACAACAATGTCAGTCGAAAAAGATCACGGTGGAGGCGCGGGAAGGCTGCTCAGATGGTCGCAAAGGCTGGATTACACCCGAAGAAGGTAATGTTCTGTATCTGGTGGGATTGGAAAGGAATCGTCTATTATGAACTGCTGCCACCCAACAAAACGATTGATTCGACCAATTACTGCTCACAACTGGCCAAATTAAAGCGAGCAATCGATCAGAAGCGGCCCGAATTGGCGAACAGAAAGTGCGTTGTGTTCCAGGACAATACTAGACCACACGTTTCTCTGATGACCCGGCAAAAGTTATTGCGGTTTGGGTGGGATGTTTCGGTGCATCCACCGTATAGTCCGGACCTTACACCTTCAGATTATCACTTCATATCATATCATATCATGTTCCGGGCGCTACAGAACAATTTGAATAATAAAACCTTGAGTTCCCTGGACGTCCTCAAAAACCACTTGGATGACTTTTGCCCAAATATCTCACAATTTCTATGAAAGAGGGATAATGAAGCTCGTGGAGAGATGGCAGAAAGTCATTGAACCGAATGGAACATATTTAGTTGATTAAAATCGCTTTTTTTGCTAAATATTTTGCGTTTGAAATTTATTCGAGTTTCGCTGCGGAATTATGCATAGACCCATATTAGATATTTTAACTGTTTTCCTTTTCTTTCAAAAGGATTTTCTCTTATATCAATTAATTTTTCTCTCGCATGAAGAGGAATATGTTGGTTTGAATGTCGGCTTCTTTGTTCAGTCATGCTCCACCTCCAGACATGAGCGAAAAAATAATCATACATTCATGGCTCAGAATATTTGGAACACTTTTGTAAAAAAGGTATGTGTGTTATTGTAACATATAACGAAGATAATTTACCCATATTTGGTCAAATACAATTTATAATCTATTGCAAGAAGTTGAATGATATATTCTTTCTTTTAACTAGGTTTTATACAATTGGTTATGATGAACATCTTTGCAGCTATGAAGTCCATAACAAAACTAATTGGAAATTTATTTATTATTACGTGTGTGAATTAATTCGGTCCAGCTAGCGGTCAATTGCTGTACTATTGTAATTTTCTAACTTCTAATGTCTGCAAAAAGCTTCATTTTTTAGATTTGATATCTGGCAATAATATTCAGTGATAAACGTTTGGGTTTGTAACAATAATATCGTGTTTATTTGATTCGAAAATGTCGAAATTCGAGCCAAAAAAGCATCATTTCCGGGAAGTTCTCATTTTCTGTTTTCATTTGAAGAAAACAGCCGCTGAAGCTCATCGAATGCTCGTAGAAGCTTATGGTGAAAGTGCTCCCACCGATAAATCATGCAGAAAATGGTTTCGACGTTTCAAAAATGATGATTTCAGTGTCGGTGACAAATCTCGTCCAGGTCAGCTGAAGGAGTTCGAGGACGAGGAATTGCAGGCGCTAATCGATAAAAATCCGTGTCAATCGCAACATGAGCTCGCGCAATTGTTGAATGTTGATCAATCAACAATATCTGTGCGTTTGGCAGCCATGGAAAAGATTTACAAAGGAGGAAGATGGGTGTCATACGACCTGAAAGAAAGAGACACCAAGAGGCGAAAAGCCATGTCTGAAATTTTGCTTGCCACGCAAAAAAGAAAAGGTGTTTTGCATTGTATTGTGATTGGAGACGAAAAGTGAATATATTTCGATAATCCCAAACAAAGGAAATCCATTAGCGACCCCGGAAAACCATCCACATCGATACCAAAGCAGAATATTCACGGCAAGAAAGTAATGCTCTGTATATGATGGGACCAGAAAGGTGTAGTGTATCATGAACTATTAAAACAGAGCCAAACCATCACTGCCGAACTTTACCAACAACAATTGATCCGTTTAAGCAACGCATTGAAGAATAAGCGGCCGGAATATGCAAAGAGACAAGACAAAGTGATCTTCCAGCACGATAACGCTCGGCCACATGTTGGAAAGATTGTGAAGGCCATTTTGGAAGCACTTGGGACGTTTTATCTCACCCGTCATATTCACCAGACATTGCTTCATCCGATTATCACTTGTTCAGATCAATGGCGTACGGGCTTTCGGACTTCAACAATTATGAAAAAATAGAGAAATGGCTCAATGAATGGATCGCTTCGAAGGACGAGTCGTTTTTCCGTCACGGAATGCAACAACTGCCAGACAGATGGGAAAAAATAATAGCAAGCGATGGTAAATACTTTGATTAGTATACTTTTTCATATTTTTCATACTAAAGTCATTTTTTGGATGAAAAAAGCGGACCGAATTAATTCACACACCTAATATGTAGCAAAACACATAGAATACTCGATGAAAGCACACTATGCGATTCTACGCTACCGCGTATCATAATTACCCGATAATTCAAATATGGCTCCATTACATCCAATTAAATATTAATAGAGAAGGATTAACAAAATAATAATTCTGTGTGTTTTAGAGGAATTCGGAGGAGGAAATAGGACAACGCATTATTACATTAATTGTTATCTTTAGCACGGCACATTATATAAAATTAATAAACTGTTAAATGAGGCCAAATAAGGTTAAAATGAATACACATACATAGGATCGCACTATAAACGTACTTTATTAATAAAAAGTCTATAAAAGTGGTCCGTAGCTTACGAAGGCGTAACTTAAAAAAGTTACCAAAAAGTAAATAATTTAAACAGATGCTCTTATTTGAATTAATTAACTGTAACTGTCTGTGCCTTCATCAGCATAAAAATGGCAATCTTTAGAGGAGGAGAATTATTTTGTTCGTGAAGCGTTAATTTTTGAATCAGAGTCTTCGGTATTTCCAACTTCTCTATATTTGCCGCCGTCAAGTGTCCGTCCTTCCTCTTCATATGCTGGAAAATGACTTCGCGACATAATCCTTGTAATGAGGGTACTGTAAACAGACAGTATAATGTTTAAATAACAAGAGAATGGTTCTTTAATGCTATTTGGCGAATCGACATAATTCCTTCGTGACATACCGTTGTATAACGGAATCGTCCGAAATTGAAGCATTGACTCCATCATTCGCATATATAGGTATACTGGTTTTCCCGGTGATAAAGGAAACCTTTCCCATCGAACGGCATTTTTAGAAATCGTGAATCCAATTCCTTCGGGCCTGTTGTTCACTATGTAAAATATGCCTATACAATCACCCGGTAGATTCGTCCTGTGATAATCGAACATCCCAAACTGGTTTGTACGATAATACGAATTTGGAACACAGTCCCATATGTATCGCTGTAAAATATTAAGTACATTGGACGTGTGAAACTTATGTATTTTATCTTCATCTCCAATATAGCACGAGTAAATAAAGTGCATTAAATGAGACTGAATTGAACTTGTAACCATAAATGCACCTGAAAATGAAACAATAAAAATAAAGAATAATAAATTATTGTTCAATGAATGCACGATGTGTTATAAATTCTGGATACGTCTAACTATGTATATACACACATTTATTATATCTAATGGATAATTTAACACTTTAACAAATATTTTCTTATCGAAATATTATTATACTGCTAAATTCAACGATATTAATATAAAAAAAAGTATATAATGCTACTGTTGTATAATACACTTTCTTCACACAGTTTTATTGTTTAAAGATACGATAATGGAGATACGAAGAATGAAGGAAACATCTATACGTTATCGGCGCAAATTTAATTGGAAGCAAAATATATCGATTTAACTCTTTTTCCGGTCAGAACTCAGGATATTCTCAGCAAGACTATTTTACCGTTGCGGTAAATATGCTGGGGTGTTTGTAAAAATTATATATCGAAATGTCTAAAAGGGGACAAGAGCCTAGTGAATATGAAGATGTGCAAAGAAGTAATGGTGACAATTTTATATCACCGCGTAACATGCGTAAGAAAGCTGGGGTTACGTAACAGCGATTGTTTCGAAATATACCAAAGAAAACTATAGATAAATCTAAATGAAATATCGAATACCAAGGTAGTGTACATAATATGCACATTGCTTAAGCAAACTCGTTTGAATAAAATTTATACGTTTTTTAGGCAATAATTGACTAAGCGTGCGTGATATAAAAATAATGCCGACCGATGTGACTACTATACTTACGGCCGGAAAGAGTTAAGGATTTTAAAGATACATTCAATAATTAATATAGTCGAATAGAACACAAGTTTTAAATAGATTAAAGCTGTAATTGTAGGTGTAAAACATACCACATGGGACATTTATGCTCATTCGGGGACTTTTTTCCTGTGTGAATCGACATATCATTTGTTCACGTGGAGGAAATATGGATTTCAGCTTCTCCTGTTCAATGAGCATTACTTCCATCGGCTGCATCGGTTTTTCGCTCATAACATTATATTCAGGTACTACATTTTCTCCGCATTTGACCGCTACAGTATCGTCCGCCAAAAGCTTAACTGAGTCGTTAATACGACACAATTTAGGAGCACCTTCATACATTCTATCCATTTTATAATGAGACACGCATACACACTAGTATGAAAACTGTTTGTGACAAGCGCTGATAAAATTTTCTAACAAATACTAGCAACTTTAGCGGAAAACATATGAACGTTCACTCCACGAAAGCTGGGCAAGAACTAAGCGAAATTCACGTTCAGGTATCTCAGTTCATCCCTTCCGCTCAGTTGTAGGGAAGAACCTATCTCTTCTCAAAGCGCCTTTCCTCTAGTATGTCTCTGTTGTTTTCTACCTGAGCCTTTCCTTTTTCCCCGTTTTTTTTATTCACTAAAAGCAGAACTGGAAGATCACCTTGGACTAGGAACTTTTTTTATCTTCGAATAGAAATCTAAACACTGAAAGATATCAGATTTCTCAAATCAGATTGCTCAAATATTCCAATTTCTAATAAAATACGAAATAAGATGTACAACACCGATGGGAAACGGGAAAAATGGAAAGGTCAAGTAGAAAACGATAGGAGCTTACTTGAAACGCTCTTTAAGAAGAGATAGGTTCTTCCCTACGACTGAGCGGAAGGGATGAACTGGCATATACCGGCGGGTTTTCCGATCACCAGCGTTACCGGATTTTTTCGTTAACGCGACATTTTAGAAAAAAATATTTCAGACAAAAGTTGTAGGGCTTCAAAGGATCTATGTACTGACGCTATTGTACGTACATAGATCCTTTGAAGCCTTTTTGCCTGAAATATTTTCCTCTAAAATATCGCGTTAACGAAAACATGGATCGCTTCGCAGGACGAGTCGTTTTTCCGTCACGGAATGCAACAACTGCCAGACAGATGGGAAAAAATAATAGCAAGCGATGACAAATACTTTGATTGGTGTATTTTTTCATGTTTTTTCATACTAAAGTCTTTTTTGGAAGAAAAAAACAGACCGAATTAATTCACATACCTAAAATAATGATCTTATTTCATTCATGCTTACTTATTGTAAAACTGGAACTAGAAATACATCTATATAGTATATTACTTTTCGTTGTACACTATAATAAATTTTTTCATAATAATTAGTATTACCAGCAAGAATAAATACAGTAAGAATAAATAATAATCGTCTTAAAAAAAGATTAAATAATCTGTGTGTATAAGAGGAAATTTATATTAAAATCAATAAGATTTATTGATTTTAATATAAATTTATTATTACATTATATTATACATATAATATATAATCTCTTTAACTTTAAGGATAATATATTTATATTTTCCTCTTAATCTTACAAGGGGAGAACGCATCGACCGGGAAACGGCTTGGAACGAAACTTACGGAGTTAATAGTACTTGACTACTAATGACTCATGGTAATAGCATACGACGCAATATCTCTTCGTTTTCGAGAAAAAACAATCTAAAGAAAAGAGCCAACAAAGTGTACGAGTTAGTAAGAGAGGTATTCGACGAAGCGACGTAGCGCAGCAACGAAGGTAACGGAGTACCGGGCTGGACGGCTGAGGTTCAATCCCTGCTGTATAATTTTTTTTTATTCTGTAAGCATAAAAATGAAACAGAAAACATTAATAAGTAATAAAACTGCGTTTCTTAAATATATTAGTGTTTGTTAAATATATGATATTATTAATGATTTAAATTGCAAAAAGACCGCAAATCTTATCTATAAAATATATAGTGTATGAGAAAATTTTTATATAATAATTGCAATGGAAATAGGAATAAAAATATTGTTATGAAATATATAGGAATGCTATTAACCCTTTGCGGTCGATGCCGCCACAGTGGCGGCATTCGCAAGTCATCGTAGAAGTCGATGCCGCCAGGCTGGCATTCATGATCGCCTGGCGTGCGGCACGGCAAATGAGGCTAGCGATAATGAAAGAAAACTATTCTCCCGATGCTAGATTCAAATGTTTAGATCAACTTACAGATATCCATGTTTATCGATCTCTTCGAAATCGGCCGATCGCAAAGGGTTAAACTAGTATGAGATAATTTTTCGTAATCTTATATCGTATATATAAAATATTTATTTCTGTTGCAACTCTCTATGTTGTATTGAAGTCGTGTTGTGTTGAAGTTATGTTGTGTCTTTATCTCTTCTGGCAATCCCCCTCCAAAAACTTCCTTTGTGTCATTCTAAACGATCGTTAAGAATGACGAAATGATTCGAGCATCGGAACAGTCATCAGTAGAGCAAGCGGCAGTGTGCGTTTACTAGTGATACAGAGCAATTCGATGATCATATTTAATATATCATAACAATGTCAGAGAATCCTTCAACAAGCAAAATAGTTGATGTAGAATCGCTAGAAGAAAGATCTTTTGAAAATGAAGATTTTAAAGGTGAATTCACTAATGCTCTCGTATATGCGAATTTTATTTACGAGAATAATGAATTATTATCGAAAAATCCTCCAGCGAAAATATAATATATTTTTACTCCTATTTCCATTGCAATTATTATATAAAAATTTTCTCATACACTATATATTTTATAGATAAGATTTACGGTTTTTTTGCAATTTAAATTATTAATAGTATATTTAACAAACACTAATATATTTAAGAAACGCAGTTTTATTACTTATTAATGTTTTCTGCTTCATTTTTATGCTTACAGAATAAAAAAAAATTATACAGCAGGGATTGAACCTCAGCCCGGCAGCCCGGTACTCCGTTATCTTCGCTGCTGCGCTACGTCGCTTCGTTGAATACCCCTCTTGCTAACTCGTACACTTTGTTGGCTCTTTTCTTTAGACCGCTTTTTCTCGAAAACGAAGAGGTATTGCATCGTATGCTATTACCATGAGTTATTAGTAGTCAAGTACTATTAACTCCGTAAGTTTCGTTCCAAACCGTTTCCCGGTCGATGCGCCCTCCCCTTGTTAGAGAAATCCTCTTGAGGTCATATATAAGAATAAAATCCTCTAAAATTTAAATGATTTCGCTTGTTTTGAAATTACTTTTTTTTGAGTGCAGAGCCATTTGATATGTTAAGCTCGGCATGAATCTCTTTCACTCATACGATTTTCAAACACTAACTTTTTCACTGTTTTAACGTTTTTGTCGTGGATGGCGACCAGAACGAAACAAGTCTTTGACGGCTGTGCAACCCTCTTTGAACAATTTATTCCACTCATGCCTGTGTTTTTGGAATACACTTATCTCCATATGCCTTTTATAGCACTTTCAGCGCGTCTGCATAAGAAATTTCATCGAAAACACACAACTCAATGCAATCTCTTTGCTCTGCAATATTCGACATCGTAAAAATCACAGATGTTACCTGAAGTCGACCGATAGACAGCTACCACGGACGACCTAATTGAAAAAATCACGCTCTAATTCGGTACGGAAGTTAAATACAGTGACACCAACTTAATCACAAAAGAATTTTGAAATATCATAAACGCACGTCACTTAAATGAGTGATTCCAGCTACTTTTTGAGCAGAGAAGGTATTAAACATGAAATATAAGGATTTCGGTGTGTCCCCGCGATCTCTCATTCCCCGACCGTCTCCAATCCCACCTTCGTAACGAACTCGGTTATTTATGCAAGCCGGAGATTCGTTCACGATGAGAATCTCGCGCTACTGATCGGAAAAGCGATCGGAGCTTTAATTACGGAAAAATCGAGTCGAATCCGTCGTTAGGGTGAAGGCGGTCGCTCGTTCCCGGGACACCCTGTACGTAAGCTCATGCATATTAATCGCCACGACGAGACGTTGATCCGCCTTAACAAAGCCACGGGGCCCGGGGGCGAAAGGACGAAAGCGTCGAAAGTTACAAATCATTCGACGGCAATTTTACGACGACGACGACGACGACGACGACGACGGCGACGGCGACGACGACGACGTATCC